AATACAAATAGGACCTAGAGATGGCAACTTGTTCAGGACCTGAACAGGAACCAATCCACCCTCAGCCTAACTTTCAACATCATCTCCTCTGGCCCATTTTATTGTGTGTAGATTTGGCAAGAATTTGAAAAGGGCTCAAGTATCTTTTATGTCACTGCCATAAATCTGGAGGGGGGTGTCCCCATTGTATATATTAGACCTAGTGCCTGTTCTCATGGAAATTATCATCTGGTGGAGATAAATAGACAAGTGAAGAGACAATTACAAAATTCGTGTCCCTATCCAGCAACCATCCCTGATGTACCCAGAAACTTGTAGTTTGGTATTGGTTCATGCATGCAATTGAGTTCAGGCTGGAGGAAGCGTARGACAGCAATAGTTCATAGCTTCCCTGTCTGTGTCCTGGCCAATGTGGCTTATTTCTAGTCCCGGATTTCTACAACATCTCAGCATTTAGGAGGTTGTTTTGGGATGTYATATCTGCTCTACAGAGGATTAGTACAGGCTTCATGGTACCCATCTCAATCCAGATCCATTTCAGAGAAGCCTCACAAATTTCTCCAGCCATGAGACATTCTCTATGAAGTCCAGGATAACAGTCCATTATCATGTTCCTTAAATTTAAAGTGTTTCCCTAGAAGTAAAACCTGAAATGGGAACATTTGCATGAAATGGCTTATCTCCAAGACTGATCTCACAGTAGCAGAGAGAAAAGCACAAGAAAGCAAAGACTGAGGTTTGGCCTCAGTCCGATCTCATGGGGGCTCTGAAGCACAAATGCTACCACAAAGTTGTCCCACCTTGAGGCCATTGAGTAAGCCTGTTGCACTGCCAGCTGTTGACTGTCTACCACTCTCAGGGAAAGAATGGAACTTCTAAGATATTGCTGGGCAAAATGWCTTCCATGAATGAGCCGGGTTAACTGCAGAAGTGCAGAGTAAGGAAACTTCGACAGCCAACACTTAGCACCTGTAGGATGGGAGTAATAGCTCAGTAAAAAGTGACCTGSTCAGCAGGTCAATGGCCTCTACTACACTCAGAAAATATGTACAACCAGAGCAGCCTCCAGACAGTTTGAGTCTGTGTCCAGCTTTGAAACATTTTCCTAGAGACTAGCATTTGAATGTCTTTTCTATTTTACATATCAAAATCAAGTTTCTCCTCTGAATTCCAGAATTACCTGGGAACATTAAAAGGTTGTCATTTAAGTTTAGAGGTTTCCCTCTCCATGTTTCTCCTATTTAACATTAATAATTCACTTGAYAACTAATTTAACCAAATTCTTCAATCTGAGTTCACAAAAAGTGTAGTTTCRAGAAAGGTTCTTCTGTCAATGACCTAAAAGCTATGCCAGGCATAGACATTTTAAGCATAGTCTGTGCTTTTTTTTCCTACTTGGGTAGAAGCTGGGGACAGGAGCAAATGTCAATGAAAAATGCTATTTTCATTTGAAATGTATCTTAGTTTTATTTTTTTTAGAAAGCAGAATTTAGTCAACACCACTGTTAATAGATTGGATCCGTGGTGTCCCCCAAATTTCCTGAGTTAATACAGGAATAGTCAGAGGTGAGATGATTGGATTATGAGAGCTATAACTTAATCAGTCCCTCCTGGACAGTAACTTAGAGGCATGTGGAGTGAGGCTGGATGAGGTTTGTCACTGGGGGATGCCCTGGAAGGGTGCATCTTCCCTCTCTCCCCACCCACTCTGAAGAAAGGTGTAGGAAACTGTTCTCAAGGATCAGCTGGGAATGTAAATGGGGAACAACAGGCAAATAGCAGGGCTGTTCCACTCTTCTTCACCTATAGCAGCTTCTCTCTGTTGTTATTTTTGAACTTCCCTCTCAGACTTTTTTCAATAAATGTTTTGGTAGCTCAGTATATATTTCAGCCCATTTAAACACACACATATCCAATGGGAAACAATAGGCTAATGAGAGATATTTACTCATAAGTTTCCCTAACTGGATGTAGCTTGCATTCGGAGATTCCCTTCCACACTGCTATTAAGGGAAAGCACTAATAAAGGCTMTTGAGTGTGCCATGTTCTCCAGAGCCAGAAGCAGTAATTCATGTGTTACCCATAGTTCCAAATATGTGTCAAACCGAGGGTATAAGAAGATTAAGAAAAACTGTATGAAGGCATGAGACTATGGGCTGAGCCAAAAAGCAGGCTGAGGAGCAAATGTGTTATACCCAGTACAACCGAGTGCCACTCTTCCACTGTCGAACATACCAAGCATAATCCCAGGTCTCAACTGAGAATGATCTAATTCTGGGGAGACACCTCTGTTTCTCTGGTGGCCTCCAGAGATTGAACAGGCCTGTGCAAATTACATGAAGCAGTTATGGGTCATACTACCTCTTCTGCACCAGCCAGGCAGCAGGTACCTAAAGCCAGCAATCTGGTGGGCAGAAAATCTGAAAACAATAATACACAAAATATTGACACATTTTGTTCTCTGATTTAAAACCCATTAATATTGCCTCCCTATGAGTTGTTTGGTTTTTAAAATGGTACACAATAGCTAAACAAATTTCATAAAAACTTACAGCCTAGGAGCTGGGGTTGTAGCTTAGTGGTAGTGTGCTTACCTACCATGTGTGRAGCACTGGGTTTGATTCTCAGCACCACATATAAATAAAGGTCCATAGACAACTAAAAAATATTTTAAAAATTTACAGCCTAGCAGATGGCAGTGCACAATAGAGTTGTTTGGTATAATGATATAAGCCCTGATTTTAATATAATGTTTGCAGCTACTGGAAGATATCTATAAGCCCTTCCCTAAGACTCAGTGATGTTGTCTGAATTRCTTCAAATAATCCTGGAATTGTGAAAAGAAAAGAAAATCATACAGAATAAAATCATTTATCATCAGTGTTGGGGGTATGGCTCAGTGGTAGAGAGCTTGACTGGCATGTATGAGGCACTGGGTTTGATCCTCAGCACCACATAAAAATGAATAAAATAAAAGTATTGTGTCCATTTACAACTAAAAAATATTTTTTAAAATTATATATAATTTTTATCATATATAAAAAGAGGTCTATAGTTTGAATTAATTGAAAATAAGATTTTAGACTTTTTAAAATTAAATAAGTGTGAGATAAGTATTCAAAGACTGTCCATTTAAAATATGTAAAATTATTACCCTTCTAGGAGMACTTTCATGTCATGGTGACTTCAGGGAATCATCATGCTTCAGACCCTTGGCTGTAGGGAAGAATGGGAACTTGGAGACTGGAGAATCAAGTAGGACTGGACCAGGAGAGGCCCTGTGAACCAGGTTAAATCATTTGGCTTCCACTTTGAGGCCAGAATCCAGGTTAAGTGACCATAAAAGCTTCTGCCAGATTTGAGATTCTCCTGCTTTAGAAATGTAGTATTTGTACAAAAATAAAATAAAACCAAAGACTCACTCAAAGTTCACATTGTACAATATAAAGAAAATTCCATCTTTGATCCACATTTAAAAGACAGATTTAAAAAAACTTTTAGTTAAACTTTTAGTTAAATTTTAATTGAAAATCTATAAACTGTTGAACTTCAGTTCTATTCAGAATCTTTGAACTCCATTGTTCTGTAAATATTTTCTACCAGTGAAACATGAAAACACCACTTATTAGTATTTACCCTATAGCACAAGCAAATAAACTTGTTTGCACTTAAAACAACATATTACCCCACACCTTAAATTTCCCTTCCTGAAAATGATGGCAAAAGTATTTTGTTTGTTTTAACTTGACCCATCTTTTACATCTGAATCATTTTACAGATTTTCTTTTGAGACAAGTGGCCTTAGATGTTCAGATAAGAGTGGCGGATTTCTGCCATTTCAATGATATTTATTARAGATACCTTTAGTGAAATTTGTATGTCAAATTTTCTTTTATATTGGTAAATAGAACCTTATTAATTCAATGCAAGCAATGTCAATGTGACCATAAATATCCAATTTATAGAAATATGTTTAGAGACATCTATTTTATTTAAAATAGAGTACCTATTATATTCTAAAGTGGAAATGAATAATAATAAAGGTGTAAATTTAGAAATGTCTTATTAATACAAAACATCATAAAAATAAACATAATTAAATATTAAAGAATTTTTTAAAAATAYATCTACTATATTCTATTGTTATAGATAGTTTTATTTTTTGAGCTCTTATTTTAAATTATTAAAATCTTTACTGGAACATATGATTTTTGACATAAATATATTCTATTTCTCAATGTATATTAATCTTTAAATGAGCAGTATATATGAATTGAGATCTATTGGAGGATATGCATTCCCTACTAAACACTAAAGTGTTTGGTTGGTACTTAGAGAATGATGGCAGCATCCTKAGCATGACATACTGGTTTCCAGTCACAACCTTTCCTCTGCCTAATGTTCAGCTCCTTCCCTAGACTGGGGAAGACAAGGAACTATTCCTTGGACTCCCTTTACAGATGTAGGTTATCCTTAGACCATTTCCAACACCAAGGATGGACCCACCCAGGTCTTCTCTAAAAGAGACAACCTTGTGAGCCTTGGCTATTTCAGACTCCTTCTGAAGTCATCTCCATTTAAAACGGAATCCAGGTAAGTTTTTGTCAGTATCAGAAACAAATGGGATTTACCAGATGCATACAGAAAATGATCMAACCCAGAGGAAATTCCCTGCTGTAGAGAAGAAAGGGAAAATGTGGTTTCCTGGTTTTTAGCATTGAGCCATTCTTCATAGTGCCAACTCTGGTATTAGAGTTCTTTTATTTGTATTTATAAAAGTAAGTTCCCCCTGGGTTGGGTGTAAATTTCTCCAAAATACCTCCTATCCTTATTCCTAGGTATGAAAGGGTGTTTTCGTTCCAATTTTAGTTTTCTTATTTAGAGAGTCCCTCTTTTAGAATTAATAATTAACCAGAAAACTAAGTTATCCAACTCTTTAAACTCAATTTATTTGAAAGGAAAGTAGCTTCAAGCAGGTTATGTCCATGGTTTTATACCACCTCTAGCCATGGGCCTTTTGGAAATACTTTGTTTTTTAATTTTCCTGGAGAAAAGTTTGGGACAGGGACAGGAACAAATGTGAGTAAAACAACTCATCTTCATTTTGTAATGTATCTTAGTAGTGATGAGTGAAAAAGCAAATTCAACAGATTGTGTTGATTTGAAAATAACTCTCTCCTTCTGAGAGCACCAAATGGGTAGTCTCATTTCTGAATGAGAAAACCAAGGAAGCGTTTTGATTTGATTAGTGACTAACAAAGTGACAGCTTTTATGAGATTGTTATTTATAAAAATGTACATAAGTGATTACTCACATTCCACTTCAAAAAGGCACAAAGTCAACTCAAGATAAAAGCTTAATCTTGTCATTTCTTGCTTATTTGTATTCAGTACTTAGTTTGATTTGTGTTTTTCATGGACTACACACAGTTAAGCCAGAGTTACTTGGGGGTCAATTCTAATACTGTGATTTGAAAATTTATTGTAATTAATTATGTCTACATTTCTGAGCTGATTCTTCACAACTTTTAGTGGTATTGAAAGCCTGTACATTTTTAATTATGTGTTAAAAACAATGATCTCATATCTAGAAATAATATTTAAGTACTGAAAAGTAACCAGGTATTATCTAATAGAACCAACTTGTTTCATATGTGAGGGTAAGTCCAGAGAGGGCAAGGGATTGGCCAAAGGTCAYACTCCTAGAGAGAGAGAGAGAGGGGCAGGACTTTCATTCATGTCTTCTCATTATCACCAGTTTTTTCCATTGTCAAAAAATGTGCATATAAACATGTTAAATGTATTATAAATATATACTTAGAATATCATAAATTTGTAGTATTTTCTCATTTCTGGTCTTTAGATTTTATCACATGGCCACAATCACACCATTACCTTAATTAATTTTTATTTATTTTTGAAAGACAAACAATTGAAGCTCATAGAAGTTTGTATTAATTGACTTTACGTTAGTGGCAGAACCAGGGCTAGAACCTGGGATCCTAAGATCCTTGTCCAAGGACATTCTGAATTCTTCCCCACTACATTGCATTGGCCCTTAATAGAAACCACCTCCTCACCTGCTCTGAAGATGTGAGAGTGTGCCTTTTACAACATGGTAATTAATTACTTTGACTAGTTGACTGACTGATCAAATATTCATGGAGCACCTAGCATGTAATAGCACTGAGGGTATTGCAGATGAGAAAGGATAATTCCTAGAGATTATCTTTCATACAAGCAAATGATGAWTAAATGAACCAATGAATGAAGGAATAAATGAGAGTAGGTAGTTATTAGTATTTTGAAGTGAAAAGCACAAAGATAAAAAGTTGATGAAGCACTGTTTAAAAATATGGACAGGAGGGTTCTGTTAAGGAGATGACACTTGAGCAGATGTTGAAGAAGTGAGGGAGGAAGCCATGCAATCATCTGGGGAAAACATTCTAGGTAAAGGCCAAAGAAGCAGCCTYACCTCTCTGCAAGCTCAGTGGCCTGATCCTCTGCAGCTGTTGAAAGAAAATGAAAATATAAAATTCCTCATATGGCTAGATCATAATAATGGTACATCAGTAAGAATTCCAGAGCCATTTTTAAGGACTTCTAAACACTAAATAGGTTATGTGTCACTTCTCCCACCACATAAACAACTCAATACTGAACTAAAAAATACAAACTTTTAAAAAATACTGAAATTAAAATAGCCTTTTATTTCTAGATTTTTCTATTTTTCCATATTTTATTGGTGCATTATAATTATACATAATGTGGTATTTGATGTTACATACATGCACACAATATTACAAAATAACTTGACAAGTATTTTTCCCCAGTATCTACCCTTTCCATCCTCCCCTCTCTATCCCTGGTCCTTTTCCAATACTCTACTGATCTCTGATTTTTCATGAGGTCCTTCCTTGCTGCACACCTTCATTTCCTTTTTCCTCTCTAGCTTCCATATATGAGAGAAAACATCTGAGCCTGTACTTTCTGAGTTTGCCTTATTTCACTTAAGATGATGTTCTCAAGTTTCTTCCATTCTTCTTTATGGCTTAATAAACTCTGTTTTTGTGTGTGTGTGTGTGTGTGTGTGTATGTGTGTGTTTGTATAAAATATATAATATTTTCTTTATTCATCCACTGATGGATGCCTAGGCTAGTTCCATAGATTGGATTTTGTGAATTGTGCTGCTATAAATGTGTATATATGTATCACTGTAATATGATGACATTAATCCTTTAGAATAAATACAAAGTAGTTGTATAGCTGAGTCATGTTCCATTACTAGTCTTTTGAGAAAACTTCATGCTGATTTCCATATATTTATACTAATTTACAATATCATAAGTGTATATAAGTTCCTTTTTCTCCACATCCTCCCCAGTATTTATTATTGTTTATATTCTTGATGGTTGCCATTCTAACTGGAGTGAGGTGAGATACCACTGTAGTTTTGATTTACATTTCCTGGTTGCTAAAGATATTTGAACATTTTTTCATGTATTTATTGGCCACTTATATTTTTTCTTTTGAGGAATTCTACTTAATTTATTTGCCCACCTATTAATGGGATATTTGCTTTTTTCTGGCATTAAGTTTATTGAATTTTTTATATATTTTAGATATGAAGCCTCTGTCAAACAGTAAATGACAAAGATTTTCTTCCATGGTTTAAGATTATCTTTTCACATTCTTAATTGTTTCCTCTACTATGCAGAGGCTTTTTCATTTGAAGTCATCCTTTTTATTAATTGTATTATTTCCTGAGTTTTAGGAGTCCTAATGAAGAAGTTGTTGCCTGTATGTGTGTGTGTGTGTGTGTGTGTGTATACACTATATTTTCTTCTAGGAGTTGTATAGTTTCTGGTCAATTTCCTAGGTCTTTGATTCATTTTGAGTTGATTTTTGTGCAGGGTGGTAGATATGGGTCTGGTCTCATCCTTCTACTTATGGATAACCAGTTTCCCAGCACCATTTGTTTAAAAAGCTGTCTTTTCTTCAATGTTTTTTTAGCACCTTTATCAAGGATCAGACAACTGGATATGTGGGTTTGTCTCTGTATCTGTATTTTGTACCATTGGTCTATAAGCCTGCTTTTATGCCAGTATCATGCAGTTTTTGTTTGTCTTGTACTGGGGATTGAACCCAGGAACACTTAACCACTGAGCCACATCCCCAGCCTTTTTAAAATTTAAATATTTTTTAGCTGTCAATGGATCCTTATTTTATTTATTTACATGTGGTGCTGAGATTCAAACTCAGCGCCTTACACATGCTAGGCAAGAGCTCTACCACTGAGCCACAACCCTAGCCCCTCCCTAGCCCTTTGTTTTTTGGTGGGAAATTACGGGGATTGAATTCAGGAGCACTTGACCACTAAGTCACATTCCTAGACTATTTTGTATTTTATTAGAGACAGGGCCTCACTGAGTTGCTTAGTGACTCTCTAAATTGCTGAGGCTGGCTTTGAACTTGCTATCCTCCTGCCTCAGCCTCCAGAGGTACAGGGATTACAGGTATGTGCCATTGCACCTGGCTCCCTGCAGTTTTTATTATCATTGCTCTGTAGTATAATTTGGAGTCAATATTGTTATGCCTCCAGCATTGCTTTTTTGGCTTAGAATTCCTTTGGCTACTCTAGATCTTTTTTCTTCCAAATGAATTGTAGGATTTTTTTTTCTAGTTCTGTGAAAAATGTCATTGTTATTTTGATAGGGATTGCATGGTCAGGTTAGAAAAATATTGAATCTGTATATTGCTTTTGGTAATATGGCCATTTTAACAATATTAATTTTGCTGCTCCATGAAAATGGCAATTTTTTCCATTTTCTAGTATTTTCTTCAATTTCCTTCTTCAATATTCCATTGTTTTTATGGTAGAGGTCTTTTATCTCCTTGATTAGATTTATTCCTAGGGTTTTTGTCAGCTTCTTTGTTTTGTTGAGACTATTGTGAATAGATTATTTTTTGATTATTCCTCCTCCTCCTCCTCCTCCTCCTCCTCCTCCTCCT